ACTCTGGCCTGGTTCTGGTTCTATTCACTCTGTCACTCCTTTATAGGGAAATAAAGGGGGCAAGGGTCTTCTTTAAGCAAAAACTTTGCTTCTTTAGAATGCTCTTTCAGGGCTGCTGTGCACTCTCCCATTTACTTTTGATGTTTGTCCAATCCAGCCAGAAAAGCCTGCTCAGGAGACTGCCAGTTAATGTGGACATATGAAGAATAAAAACGAGGGGTATAAACCAGGAATCCCTGAAGATTTAAAGGTCTAGTTTGCTCATATACAACATGTAGGGGTGTAATGCTGGCCATACATGTTGCAATTTGATTGAGCAATCAAACATTTGATTTCATTTAATTGTCAAATGCACTAAACTGTCGCAGACGGAAAATGCCAGTTTAGGTTGACAGCAAGGACGCGGAATTGATAATGCCCCTGATCAAATGTGGCGGAAAAATAATTCTATTGATTATTTTAAAATTCTGTTTCAATTCAATCTGTCAATAAATTAACTTAAAGCATTTGTTTATTGTCTAGTGTTGACTTCACAATCAATGGAATTCTGGTATTCAGTCCTGTGTGGTAGAGTACTTAGTTCCTCCAATAATTTCCAACCATATTTGCACTTCCTGCTGGATCAAAAATGGTTTTAAAGGATTGCAAATTGCCACATCTATGGCCAGCTTATGTCCTTATGTTTTGACCAAATATGTATGGGTAAGGCTGGCCATGCATAATGCTATCTTCTTTCCTTCAATCATATGTTGAAGAAAAGAAAATTGCGTGATTCTTCCTTCAACATAGGCAGAGTTGATGGGGAAATACCTCGCACTGCAATATTGTATTCTGACTGTGGGAAGAATACAGTGATCACTGCTGCCTTTGGCAGGCTGGTTGTACTAAAGTCGATTGATACATTGACTTCAGTACAATCAATCCACCCATAGATCGAAATTCGTCCAGTCCCTGTTGATCTGGCTGAATTTCCATCTGTCTGTGGCCGGCTTGTTGATGGGGAAATCGAAAATTTTATTTCCTTCAGCTCTGTGGTTGAGGAAAGAAATTGCATAATTCTTCCTTTGCTCTGTGATAAGAAAGAGCTTGATGGTTGTACCCTGATGCGCATCTTTCTAGAGCTTGACAGTCCTGATGTGTCCTAATGCCTAGTACATACAATGAGAACAGCAGACGAATGATCGTCCTTTTTTTTTTTTTTTTTTCCATGCTAGTCTCCTATCGAAAACTAATAGGTTACTAAAGTTACGAAAATTATTGTTAGACAGAATACAACTTCGGAAGTGATGTAATGTATTGTACTGCATTGTAATGTATTCTTTTGTTCTAAGCATGCTTGGTCTCGTCGCTTGATTTTTTTCTTACAAATACTATACTAATTACATGAAAATCATTTGTTCTTTTATCTTACAAGAAAAAATTTTCATGTTTGTCCCTTCAGATATTTTCACAGGAACTGTCGTGATGATCGACTCTCAAAATCTGTGTGTGTTAACGAATAGTTTATTGGATGATCGCTGCAAATGCGTTTTTTTCTCATCGTGTGTATGATGCACAGAAGCCTCCATTGTCTAATTAGACAAAAGGGAAGTTCCGCTTTATGGCAAGGAACTCTCTGAGGATCTGAAAAAAAGAATTGTTGCTCTATGTAAAGATGGCCTAGGCTATAAGAAGATTGCCAAGACCCTGAAACTGAGCTGCAGCACGATTGCCAAGGCCATGCAGCGGTTTACCAGGACAGGTTCCACTCAGAACAGGCCTCACCATGGTCGACCAAAGAAGTTGAGTGCACATGAGGTTGTCTTTGGGAAATAGACGTATGAATGCTGCCAACATTGCTGCAAAGGTTGAAGGGGTGGGGGGGTAATCACTCTATACGAGGGTTTACAGCTGTTTCTTCCAGATGTTATGGGGGAAATAGGCTAAACCTTGTTAATCGGAACGTAACTTATTCATCCAGGCGGGAGGGTGGCCTAGGTATGGTCAACCCAGTTATGGGGAAATAGGCTAAACCTTGTTAAGCGGAACGTAACTTATTCATCCAGGCGGGAGGGTGGCCTAGGTATGGTCAACCCAGTAGTTTTTTTCTCTCTGATGTTCTTGAAACATAACTTTGGTAGCATGTTGGCAGAGAGACCGCCTGCATGGGTAGGACTTTTTCATGCCTGGTTTGGACCCTTTCTGAACAGTTGGGAGAGTGGCGGGCCAGTGAGAAGCCTGCGGGTCAAGCACGGTAAGCTCCCGGCTTACGTGGCCCCGTGCCTGAAGTTACTCCGGCCGTGGCATGTGACGGTGGAGGAGGTCAGGTCCCTCCCTAGGAAACTCCTGGGTGAGAGGATTGTGGCTACTGCTTTCCATGCGCCATTGGCCCTGAAAGATTGCCCAGGCCATATCATGAGAGAGGGTTTGCGTTTATTAAATCTGGAGCAGATCCCCCTGAAGTTGAGGGACCAGGCCTGGCTCGGCTTCCATGGCAGGTTTTACGTAAGGGGCAACCTGAAGTGCCGCTCTCTGGATGACCGTGGTTGTCCGAGGGTGGAGTGTGGGGGTGAAGTGGAGAGTATGGACCACTTCTTGCTTCAGTGCCCCTTTAAACGTTTAAGTGTACAAAGAGGTGAGTGGGGCTTTGGGTGTCTCTTTCCTCCACTGCATGTCTTATGCGGAGTGGGGTGCATGGAGCATTTGAAAGCCGCTCGGGTTTTGATTTAGACACCTTGTTTCTAGTTAGTTTAGTGGTCCGTTATTACACGTGAAATGCACAGTGTCAGGTTTCCATTTGGAAAAAAAAGTCCTCCCTGTCCAGGTGGTGGAGTGTGTGGCATTCTTGGTGAGGTTGGGAAAATTCGGGGTCTTGAGAAAGACCGGTGGCGGCGAAAGACTTGGTTGGAGGCGTGGGAGGAACATCAGGCCTGTAGCTGCTGCCTGTTGATCTCCGGTGGTGGTAGCTATTCCTGTTTCTTCTCTTTGCACCCCCTTAGGTTTTTCGTAGTTGTGGATTTGTTTTTTGAAGAAAGGTTGGAGGGTACTGAGGGTCTGTATTTTTTAGTCTTCCTCTTGGAGTTTTGTATTATCTATCTTGGTGGGTTCTTGGTTGAGTCTTGGATTTAGGCCGTAAAGGCCTTTTGCAGCAGGAGGTTGGAAATTGTATTTGATCCTTTTGGGTTTGGCCATATAGGCCATAGAGGCCTTGTGTATCCATGGTGGGGGCGGCGCGGGCCTGTTGTTCCCTTCATGACTATGTAGGCCTGGAGGCATATGTTCTTTCTTTGCAGGTTATGGACCCTTATTTTTGGGCCATTAAAGCCGTGTTGTGGTAATTATGCTTGTTTCTTTCCCAGGAAATTCTGGACTTTCTGTCACGTATAGTGATTATATTTGTGTTGGGCCATAAAATGCCTTGTGGATACATGTTGGGGGCATTGGGCCTGTTGTCCTGCTTTGTGGGGTGTCGGGCCTGTTGTCTTCTCCATGTCCGTATAGGTCTGGTTGCATATGTCCTTTTTCTTTGCAGGTTATGGACTCTTATGTATGGACTCTTATGTAATGGGCCATAGGTCATATGCCATATTCTATGTTTTTCTTTCCCCAGGAAGTTCTGGGTTTTTAGTTATGCATGGTGGCTAAATTTTTTGGCCATAAAGGCCTTGTAGATACATGTTGGGGGGCATTGGGCCTGTTGTCCTGCTCAATGGAGTGTCGGGCCTGTTGTCTCCTCCATGACTATATAGGTCTGGATGTATATGCCTTCTTTGCAAGGTTATGGACTCTTATGTTTGGGCCATTTAAAGCCATATGGTTTGCTGTTTCTTTCCCCAGGAAAATTCTGGACTTTCAGTTATGCGTAGTGATTATGTTTGTACTTATTTATTTATTTATTTGCAATTTTTTTGTACTTTTGTAAAAAAAGAGTTTAAGTTGGGTGGTTTTGTAAGCTTACATTACAAAATAAAATATTTCCCACCACCAGTGCTGAGTCCATTCCTGACAGCATTATGCAGCTTGTCCATCATATGTGCTTATGGATTGTATAAATGCAGTGCAGTCTTTGGTCAGACAGGCTATGTGTAAGCTGAGTTTTGTTCAACTGGTACTACAGATATGGTCAGATTTGTTATACCCAGCCTCAGTCAGCTTGCAACAACCCAGTCTTGCTTCTAATCTATTTCTGCAAAGCTCTATTCCTGCATTCCCGACAGCACCCCCAGTGACAGCCCAGTATACCCTGCTATCAACCACATGTCAGAACCCTGTTTGCTCCATCTGTTTACAGACCTGCGTCTACTTACAGTGCTCCAGTAACTAAAACCAGGAAGAAGCAAAAATTCTTTCCAACCAGTACCATCCTGCCAGTATCCAAACCGGTCAGCCTGCAGTCTGAGAACCCGCCTTCTGTTATCCAGCCTGGTGCCCGGTGCCGCTGTTCAGCCTGATGCCCGGATGCCTGATGACCCAGTGTACGCTACCCAGCCTGATGATCCTACCCGGCCTTATGACCCGATCCAGCCTGATGACCCGATCCAGCCTGATGACCCGATCCAGCCTGATGACCTGGTGGTCGTGATCCAGCCTGACGACCCGATCCAGCCTGACGACCCGATCCAGCCTGACGACCCGATCCAGCCTGATGACCCGGTGTTCGTGATCCAGGCTGATGACCCGATCCAGCCTGATGACCCGATCCGCCTGATGATCCACCCAGCCTGATGATCCTATCCTGCTTGATGACCTGGTGCCCGCTAACTAGCCTGATGGCCCGATCCAGCCTGATGGCCCGATCCAGCCTGATGGCCCGATCCAGCCTGATGGCCCGATCCAGCCTGATGACCCGGTGTTCGTGATCCAGCCTGATGACCCGATCTAGCCTGATGACCCGGTCCGGCCTGGTGCCTCGGTGCCCGTGGTCCGGCCTGGTGCCTCGGTGCCCGTGGTCCGGCCTGGTGACTCGGTGCCCGCTGTTCTACCAGATGACTCGGTGTCCGCTGTTGAGCTTGGTGACTCGGTGCCCGCTGTCGTGCCAGATGACTCGATGCCCGCTGTCGAGCTTGGTGACTCGGTGCCCGCTATTGAGCCTGGTGACTCTGTGCCCACTGTCGTGCCAGATGACTCGGTGCCCGCTGTCATGCCAGAGGACTCGGTGCCCGCTGTCGAGCCAGATGACTCGATGCCCGCTGTCGAGCTTGGTGACTCGGTGCCCGCTATTGAGCCTGGTGACTCGGTGCCCACTGTCGTGCCAGATGACTCGGTGCCCGCTGTCGTGCCAGAGGACTCGGTGCCCGCTGTCGTGCCAGAGGACTCGGTGCCCGCTGTCGAGCCAGATGACTCGGTGCCCGCTGTCGAGCCAGATGACTCGGTGCCCGCTGTCGAGCCAGATGACTCGGTGCCCGCTGTTGTGCCAGGTGACTCGGTGCCCGCTGTTCTGCCAGATGACTCGGTGCCCGCTGTCGAGCTTAGTGACTCGGTGCCCGCTGTCGAGCTTAGTGACTCGGTGCCCGCTGTCGTGCCAGGTGACTCGGTGCCCGCTGCCGTGCCAGGTGACTCGGTGCCCGCTGCCGTGCCAGGTGACTCGGTGCCCGCTGTCGAGCTTGGTGACTCGGTGCCCGCTGTCGTGCCAGATGACTCGTGCCCGCTGCCGTGCTTGGTGACTCGGTGCCCTCTGTCGAGCTTGGTGACTCGGTGCCCGCTGTCGTGCCAGACGACTCTGTGCCCACTGCCCAGCCTGACAAGCCTCTGTCCGCTGCCCAGCCTGACGTGCCTCTGTCCGCTGCCCAGCCTGACGTGCCTCTGTCCGCTGCCCTGCCTGACGTGCCTCCGCTGCTGCCCAGCCTGACGTGCCAGCCCCTGATGTCCAGCTAAACTGGCCAATAACTGTTTCTCAGCCTGCTCCTGGAGATCCTGTGTCCAGTAACCTGCCTTCCTGGGTTCTCCTACACAAACAGAAGTCTACCAGCAGGAAACCCAGCCAGCCAGTTGACTCCGGCAGTAGGATATTCAGCCAGTTACCTGACCGGGGCGGTTGAACATTTTGCTCACTAAGGACTGTTTGGAGCGTCCTGAGGCCGCTCCTTGAGGGGGGGGGGGTACTGTCAGGAATGGATTCACCACTGGTGGTGGGACTCACCTGCCGTGTGGGCTGCAGTACCAGGGCTGGCCAGCGGGTGCTCTCAGCAACCAGAAGCTCACTCCTGCAATCAGCCATCACCTGAGGCTGATTGCAGGAGGTGTATTTAAGGAATGGCCAGACCTGCAGTCAGTACCTTGGTGTATTGTTTCCCATGAGCCCCTGTACTTGGTATCCTGTGTTCCTGCCTATCTGCCTAGTTGCTGACCCTGCTTTAATCCTGACCTCTGCTGACTGTCTCCTGTTTAACCCCTGGCTTGCCTGACCATCCTTCAGCCTGATCCTCTGTACCGCGCTGCCCGTGAGTTACTGAACCCGGCTTGTGACCCTGACTATTCTCTGCCTGCTCCTCCGGTACCTCGCTGCCCGCACGTTGCTGACCTGGCCTGCCTGACTACGCCTGACGCTACCCAGATGATCTATCCATCCATCCCACACGGATCTGTCCCTGTTGCCAGGTCTGTCATCCTCCTCACGTCAGTCTCCTTTCCCCACACACCTCTGACGACGCTCTTTACCATTGCCGGAAGTACTCAGGGGTCGCGACCTGGTCTCAGTCTGCTCCAAGTCCATCCCCACCATCAGGGGCCCTGGTGAATAAGCAGATTGGGGCTTAGACCCCGCGCCCTGTACAGTACCTAACGGCCTACCTGACCATTCCACCTCTCCAGCCCTGACTACACCTGTGTTCCCACACATTTCTGGTCATACCCGGATCCCTAACACACCCCATTGCCTTCTCCTCTTATCCGGCCCAGAGGGTGTGGGGTTACTCACTCAGTCTCTCCTGCAAGCTTGTGGGTTGGTGTCTGCCTTCAGGCCTTACGCTGGGCTGGCTCCTTCCCTGCTTCCCAGGCTGTCCTCTCTCAGGGGATGGTGAGGTTGAGAGATCCTCCCTATCAGCTCCTACACCTGTAGGCAGGCCCCTCTCTTGGATCCCCTCCCAGGCTCCATGCACCATTCTACTTAATCCATCTTCCACCTGAACTCTCATGCTGCTGAGCTGGCTTGGTCACACTTAAGGGCTGTCCTGACCCCATGCCAAGCCTCCTGCTTGGGGATCGGCCAGGATACCTCACCCCCGCCCACTGAATTCTAGAGACTTCTCTAAGCCTCTAGATCAGGGAGAGGTTCCAGAGAGCTGGTCTGCAGGGCCTATCAGTCCTGACCAAAATTTTACCCCCTCTGACTAATCCACCAGGATGCTTCTCAGCCTCAAACATGACAATTGCACGGTCATGCAACACGGTACCCATATGCATTTTTAAACCATTTTTTGAGACAGATAAAGCTTTATTTTGGTGGTATATTATTCACCGCTGGGATTTTAATTTTTTTTGCTATATAAATGAAAAATGTCCAAAAATTTAGGAAAAAAATGGTGTTTTTCTTTATAAAATTTTGCAAATAAATAATATTTCATCATAAATATTGGCCAAAATTTATTCCGTTATCTTTTTAGTAAAAAACAAAATACGCCAATTAGTTATAAACCAAAAATTATAATTTTTAAACTTTTTTTTACATTTTTATTTTATTTTTTATATTATTATTTATGTTTTTTGGGGTTTGTTTTTTTTTACATACCGTCACCCTAGCAGTACAGTGTCACCATGGGTGACATGTACTACTTGTGGGGAGTGATTTTTTTTTTCTTTTACAGTGATTGCTTTTACACCCCATATAGGATGCAAAAGCAATCATTTCTCTTTCTCTCTGTCTGCATTATTGGTCAGAGCTTTACATGGTACAGGCGTTGTGATAGTTGTACCCTGTGACATCTGTGATCATTCACAATTTCCACGAGTAACAATGATGTCCAAGGACATCTTTCTTTTACTTTGCATGTGATATTGATTGGGGCCAAACATGATCAATGATCGGGGCCTGTAAGAGGGCCCCTCCGACGATCATGTTTCACGTTCCCAAAACAGCGGGCACCGGGTGTGGGGTCGCGCTCCCGGGAGCGCCACAAATAGAAAAGTGGGGGGCCGTTTTTAAGGGCAAAAACCCCCCTGGGGCCCCGCCTGCCCTTTTTACAGCAGGCGCGGAAGTGGTTAAAGTGTTATAAAACCCAGGACCCCGCATTCACTATATTTTGGGTTTCCCCCATCACAAATTTTGAAAATCAATTATCTAAAGTTTTTAGACTTTTATCTGTCCAGCAGAACAAGATTTTGGCTTGTAGGGGGGGAATTTTCATTTTTCCCCGATTTTCCCATGAGGT